TATTCATAAATTGGCAATTCCGATAGTGTAGCTTGGTTTGATAGTATTAATTGAAGAGAGTGGGAGAAATAACCATGCTGAAAACCATATGGATTCATAGAGTTGGAAAAAATAAAGAAGTCGAGTATTACGATGGTCAGATGGATATGGACGAGGAAGATGAGAGAAGAGCGAATGAACTGTCCTTTTTCTGGTGAGGAAAGAACAGGAACGAACTGGGGAGCTCCTATACGGTGCTGGAGGCGCCCGTTCTCGGAAGTGGCGCCCGTGCAGTGACACACTTGGACTGGCCCTAACGGGCACGCTGGCTCGCTCGGCAAGTCGCTTCGGCTGGTCGCTTCCTTTGCTCGTTCATTGGTGATTGGTCGCTGGGTTCACTGCTGACTGGTCGCATTCGACCCGTAAACTGTTGACTTTAGGAAAAATTGGAAAAAAATCGCAAAAACAAATCATGAGTTCAAAAAGGTTCATTGATTTTGAAAAAAGCTCAGGACCGTGAAAAGGTACATTGAATTTTAAAAAACAAACTTTACAATTTTGAAAAAAAATCATCAAGTTTTAAATAATTGTCAAAAATTAGTAAAGGTTCATCGATTTTGGCAAAAAAGTTAAGAAATTTGGAAAAAAAAAGTTCATCAATTTAGAAAGAGATCACAAATTTGAAAACAGTTCATCATGTTTTAAGTAGTTTTCAATTTTGAAGAAAAAGTTCGTGCAACTGAAAAAATTTCATCGGTTTTGTAAAACAAAGTTGACGAATTTGCAAAACATTTGCGCATTTGATAAAAAAAGTAGAAGGAACATAAAAAAGAAAAAGGAACAAGAAAAAAATATTAAAAACATCATTAAGAAACCGTCCGGAAAAATGTCCAGCGAACCAGAAAAAATCGGGGGCTTTCCGTGAAATGAGAAAGAATAAAAAGAAATGAAGAAGTATGAAGGCAGAAGCGTTAGTTGTCGCTGGTGGTTACTGCGGTTTAGACTATTTGGTTTGAAACTGGAATAACTCATTCCTTGGCAGCAACAAACAACCGAGCGAAGGTAGAAACATCACCCAACCATATATTTCCTCCTTCCATTTATATAGGGTCTGATGCGTTTTTCGAGGCTAACTTTGATCAAATATTAAAGCAATAATATATGACATGCAACTTACACAAAGCACACCGTTAAATTCATGTGTGAAAGAAGCTTTCAATGATATAATTTTCACATTGTGCATGTCATGTACTATTAATCTTGTCAATTGTCAAAGACGGTCTTAAAAAATGCATTAGGCTCTATATAGATGGAAGGAGGGAGTAGCTTTGGGGTTGATAAACCATCTTGGATCCAAACAGCGCAACAACATTATGACAAGCCCCCGATTGGGCAATGAAGTATAGAAAATGAGATAAAATGCCTTAATTTCTCAGAATAAGACTCCATTTGGGGCGTGCTGACCGGGCTGTTGGGATCAGTGGACCGGCCCAATTACCGCGTGGGCCGGCTGGCACTCTCTCCGGCCCAGCTCTGCTCCTTCCTTCTTCCTTGCATCAAACACGCCGCGGCCGACGCTCGCAAAGTTGGTAGCTTTCCTCGATGTTCTCCTAGAACCCCCAAAACCCTCCCTCCCTTCTCCGCCGCTGCGCTGCGCTCCCCGAATCGCCGGCCAGCCTCCTCATCTCGCCGTCGCCCCGCTACACCACCGCTTCCATCCGCCACCGACCATGGCGTGGCCGACGCCGTACAAGGCCTTGACCGCCGCCGCCGCTGCGGTCCCCTGACTCGCCGGCCAGCCTCCTCCTCTCGCCGTAGCCCCGCTACCCCACCGCTTCCATCCGCCACCGACCATGGCGTGGCCGACGCCCTACAAGGACTCGACCGCCCCGCCCCTCACCAACCCCTCGCCGTCCCCTCCCTCCTTCCTTTGCCCAACACAATGCCGCCCTCGAGGGTGAATATCTCCCCCAAATCTTAGCCCCCTCTCCCCTCCCTCTCTCTCCTCAGGCAAAATGCAGCTTTTGAGGGGGATGCTCGTGCCCACTGTTAGTGATTGATCCAATTCCTACCTCACATCCTCACCGGCCGGCCGGACTCCCTTACTCTCCATCTTGAAGATGTCTAAATCAAAAGCCAAGGGTAAAGGCATTGCTTCGGAGGAACCCCAGGTATGGAAATAAGTAATAATCACCTCTCTTTATTTGTTACTACATTATTATGATTATTGGTACAAAGTGTCTTCTTTGCACCTACAGGATGCTCCTTGCACTAATTTCTGAAGTAGTACATTATCAATTTGAAATTCAAGACATCTCAAATTCCCATTTTCTTGCTTTTGTAGCCATGCATCCCACATGTTTACATTGCAATTGTCAAATCTCCAAGGCGATTATGTGGTTATGATGGAAAAAATTGAGGCAGCAATCAAACAGCTAAACGAAAGTGAGATCAACAAGGAGCCCACTCTTTTGCGTAAACCACTGACATTTGAGGGTCGAATGTACACTCCAAAAACTGGGACTTTCTTAGTGAAATTGGAACCCGCCTTGTTGTGTTGTGTCCCCCCTCACCTTGTGTTGTCTTTTTGTTGTTTTGCTTTATTTCTCCCTCCTGTGCCCCCCTGTAATTCTGGTTCATTTAGGCCCTATCTTGTATTAGGCTGCAAAGCCTATAGGCAACATATGAATACAATTCAGGTGGGGAGAATTTCTTCTCCCCCCGGTGACATTCAAAAAAAAACTGGAACCCGACCATCAAGGAAAAGTCGTCACACTGCTCTATAGATGGTTTGACTTGTACTTTGCAGATTATTTACCTTTTAATATTCTTCTTTGCTTGGACTGGAGCAGTTGATATGTTTTGTGCTTGAGCATACTGTTATTTTGGTCATCCTGACATAACTCTCTTTTGGGCCTCCAGGTTGAGTAGCTTCATTCTATATGGATGATCTCCCTATGTTGCAATTCTGCTTGTCTGTAGCTTATGTTTATTGGCAAGTTGTTGCATTTGTGTTTTACTGACGTGCCGCATAAGGTGCATCCCACTTTGCTATCGACACTGCCTCAGATTAGGTCCTTTAGGTGCCTTGCCAACTTCCCTCCTCTGAACCTTAGGCCTCCCAGGCATTCTAACATTGGCAGGTGGAAATGTCTTAGGATTTCCAGACCCTGGCTATTTTTCTTGCCCTTACAGTGGCTACAAGAGATGACCATTAATTTGTTTCTACTCCAAAACAGAGTAGCAGTCAGAAATATGATTGTCAAGTTTCAGTGAAGCAGTATAGGTGGCACTAACGGCATGGCAGCCCTCACTTTGTTGCATGTTCATTCTGTACCTTGTCTTATCGTGTTTCTCTACTTTCCATCTCATAACTCATAGCAGTGATCAAATCTTTTGAAAGTTGTTAGCCCATGTGGGAGTAGGTCTAGATGGTTCGTTTCAGGTCTGGCCCATAACTCATATCAGTGATCAACAGTACTATTGTTTTCTTCATTGAGTAACGCCTTGTAGGTAATCATCGTTTACATGGTAGAAATTTTGACGTTGCGGAGAAAACCTGAGATTTTCTGTGTCAGCTAGTTTGTGTTTTTTCTACAGAATTCTTGAGCTAGATAATAAAAAAAAGGAGAATAGATCTTGTGGATGGAAAAGTATAAATGGCAAACCTCTTGTTACCATTGTTTCTTTCATCAGTACTATCTTGGCCTTTTTCTGTCTACCTTATTTGTTTGACATTCTGGACTCATAAGATGTTACCAAGACAGTAAAGAATTGACTTGTTGCATCTTTGTGTTGTACAGCGGTTTGGTACTTGTTCAGCGACTTTGACACTCGCATGCTTCCTCCTCAAAGCCAGCTGCGCTACAACCCCAAGGTTGGAGTGGGAATAGTCAAGCTCATTTTCGGCTGCAACTATTTGGAAGTTGGGAGCTATGCCATAAAGGTTGGGCGACCGGCATTCAAACGGTGCATCGCGGCCTTGAGTAAGGCTGAAGAATTGCATGGTACCGAAGAAGGCCAGAAGGTTCTTGCTGCAGGACCGTTGGCCCTTCCGATGGTGGTAATCTCAGAAGCAATCCGCTTTGATCTATGGAGGGCCTGTGTGACGAAACGACTTGGTGAGGAGGTGGATGATGTTGTTGAGGAGGAGTACAGCCAGTACTTCCAGTATTGGCAGAAAATGTCAGTGGCCATTGTCAACAAGGATAAGTGGGATACTCTGGAGTTAGATGAGTTAGTCAAATTGGTCCGTGTTCTCATGAGGAACAAGGAAATCAAGCCTGAGAAGAAAAGGTGGGTGCCGCGCTCTTCATCAAGCACCAGCTCAGGGAAGAAGTGATAACCGGCCAAAAGAAGAGGGCTTGTTCAAATCGAGCTTTTGTGTCACATCTGTTGAAGCTGGTGGCTGTTTGTTTGTTTGAGGAGAATGATTTGCTGTAAAATACTATGCTATGCTATGATATGTGTATCCCAGCCGTTGCTATGCTATGCCATAATATGTGTATCCCAGCCGTTGCTGGTGAAGAGAGAGAGAGACCATTACATGCTATGACATGTTCCTATGCATTGAAGCAGATAGATGAACCCATCCGTGCTAATCCTGCATTTTTTTGATTTCCTTGGCTCAAATAACAAGTTTTTTTCCTCTCTTCCGATTGAAGGAAAACCATGAATGAATGAAAAAAGAACATATGCGCGGCAAAACAATAAGATCGAGAGACAAAATCATCCATTCATTTTTGCCACCAAGACGCAGAATCATGGAAGATTTGCAACAGAGGAGCCACTATTTGTATGATCGTGTTATAAATCATGGAACCATCCATTCATCATTCATTCATTCATACAAAAAATGTACAACAGGGCGCATGGCATGCCAATTTATTCATAAATAGAGAGACAAGACGCGGTTGGTTCATTACATCCCTCCATTACCATCCACGGGTAAAACAACAGCACAGGCACAATTCTTCTTACATGTACTACGGGCATGAACAGAAATTCTAGAGCACGACCAATCAGAACCGAGGCGCATACCTAGGGCAAGTATAATCCCTGGGCATACTGGTCCCTCTTGTTAAGACATGTTTTGCCATTGGTTTGCACAGGATGGCAGTCCAGGAAACCTTCACTTGCAGCTCCCAGGCGCGGTGACAGCAAACTTGCTCTTCAGCAGGGTATGCTAGCTTGACCAAGGTGCCTGTATCCTCATCATCGACGTCATCGCCATCATCAAGGAAGCGAACATAGACACCAATTTCATCTTCGTCGCCATCCGGGTCAGGGACAGCTACGAGGTTGCGAGTTAACACAACAGAGGAGCCGCTCTTCGTATCTCTGCTATCATACACAATCATCTGAGTCTTCGGGTTTTCACTAGTCCCAGCACATATTTTGCCACTGAAAGGTGCTGCTCCTTTCAAAACATTGACTTCAAGGCTAGCTGCCACTGGACTTTCAACAGTTGCAAGCACCAACTCCACTCTGCTTAGCCAACTGCTCAGCACCCTTGTGATTGGTTCAGGATCATAGGGACCAACATGGAGCACTACCACACCTTTGCTAAAATCTTCGTCGCCAGCATCACCCTTCACCCTCAGATTCAACTCAAAATAAATATTATCTAACTGAACTAATCCTCGCCGTGGACCTATCAATGTTAGCATATCATCCTGCAAAAAAATTTAAGATAAATATGTCTCTATGTAGTAAGTAGAGCAAGCTCACACGAACTCACACGAAGTTAAGCAATTAATCAGACCAGTGTAGAAAATAAGCAACTAAATCTTACATTAAGTTAAAAGGCAACAAGTTTTGAACAAGTGAAAATAACTAAAAGGAGAAATCTAATAGATATATGAAAATGCACCAAATTTGTTGAAAGAGTGGTGTATACTAGGGAACTACTACATTGACAAAACATAGCTTGGACATCATGCAAGAACAGCAAGCTGAGAAAGATAGCTACATCATGAGAGCTGAGAAAGATAGCTACATCATGAGATAAACAGTAAGCTGCAATAGCTACATCATGAAGCTATCAATGTTTTCAATCAAAATGGCAACTCACAAACCATTTTTGCAAACATAAGTGTATCCAATACGATGTTAAGCTTCTGAATAGTGGTAATTGCAAGCAAGAATGACAAGAAACGTTTCTGAATAAACACCAACACATAATGCTGGCAGAGCAGGACTTGTTCTTACAAGGAAACAAGTACATATACAAGAAATGCCGAAGGGTACAGGGCATAAACCTAGCAAATTTTAGCAAACTATATTGAAGAATGGAGCTGTTTGCATTCCAGTTTGTATTTGGTCAAGAAAGTTTTGATAGGATAGCAGACTAGTGTACCTACTCACTAGTGCACCAGCAATCATATAATATTATATGGTGAAATCAGCACACACACACCTTTTATGGTATACAGCATATTTATGAGAAGAGGATAACAATATTTGGATTTGATCAGTATATACGAGTAAGTCAAAGCCAAGGAAACAGGGAATGGACCTTGGAGTTGATGATCTGGGGATCTTCCCTTGCACGTCTGAAGAGATAGACACATCTGTAGTCAATCGTATCCCTTGCAACAACAGTGCCATATACGCTGATTGGATAACCCCGGTCCGATTCGGTTACTTTGACGGAAATGACATTGACAGCAAACGACACCATGCACCTCTCCAACTTGGGAGTTAGATTGTCATAAAGCGGCGGCCCAAGGCCAAACTTAGCTGCAAATGAAGGGCAAGAGACACAAGTCAGAGCCAACAACTATGGCCAGTTTATCGTCTCCTAACATGGGAAGAAAGTCAAGTGAAATCCACACTCATCAGTCGCTGCATACGAATGGAATGGAATGGGTGTGAGTGCACTCCTCACACTCTCTATCGAGGTCGAAGCCCCCTATATTGAAGCTGCAGAAGCGGGTGTGGACCCAAAGATTCTTCCTGGGATCCAACTCGGTGAAGCCTTTGACGCAGGCAATGTGAAGCTCCTGGAGCTCGGCCTTGGTCATGCGCATAACTCCACCATCGTCATCGCTGTCCCACATTGGAATCTCAGGCTCCTCGGTCACTTCCTCCTCCTCCACATCTGAGGCGATCGAAGAACTGCCGATCTCCGTAGGGGGGTGCTCACCCATCTCCTCCTCCTCCTCCTCCTCCTCCTCCTCCTTGTCGCGGGTTGGGCTAGCTGCGATGTCCATAGGGGCTTGCTCCTCCGTGGGGCTAACATCGCTGGCTGTACAGCAATCGAGAAATCCATGGTAAACAGAAAGGGGAACTAGAAAGAAGAAGAAAAGGGGGTGGGGGAAGGAGACGGGAACCTTCTTCGTCGCTGGCGGCGGCGGCGGCGGCGGCGTCCTTGTTCCAGCGCCGCTTCCGACCGATCTGCACCGGCACGGGCAGCTGGGTCTCGCCCAACATATTGCCACCAGGGAGGAATAAGAAGAAGGTGTGAGATGATCGACGGCGATCGACGTCGCCGGCGGCAGAAGATAGCTAGCTAGGGTTTGAGGGGGCCGGCGATTCGATTTCGATTGGGGAATCGAATCAATCGCTCGGGATCGGGGGAGTGGCCGCTGCCCGCCGGAGATATGTGCTGGCCCATTGGGGGTTTTTGGTGGCCATGGCTATGGAGGACCAGAGCCTCCCCTCAAATGGGATCAGACTCTCAGGGGTTGTTTTCTGGCTCGTTGAAATCTGAGTCTCATCATCATTTTTAATATTCCCAGAGAACCTTAACTCCTAAAAATGTAGAAAAAAATATGGAGGTTCGGAAACTACTAGGCGAAACGTGCAATAAAAGAAGGGCTCCAGAGGCCTCCTGTAACCTCGAGGCGCCCCGTTGGGGAGCCCTGGGCCTAGGGTGACACCCCATGCATCCCCAGTTGTGGGGACAAATCCCCTAGGTGTCTCCCGAAGCATATTTCATTAATATATTTTTCTGGATTTTTTATGGATGTTTAAATAGTTGTTTTTCCTGAAATAAAAACACCAGAAAATAGGAACTAGGCACTGGGCACTTTATTAATATGCTAGTCCAATAAAAATCATAAAAATTGTGCCAAAACATGCCAAAATGATTATAGAATTTCATGAAACATTTAAAAATTATAGACATATTTGGACCGTATCCATGAATTCTCACCTCTCTAGCGGTGACTAGTTCTCCTCCAAGAAAGAGAACATCAGGATACATCTTCGTCTCCATGTATATTCGGTTATATCTAATCCTAGCTTGTTTACCACTACTACAGACCCGAATAGCACTGATCGGCCAAATTGTATCATCACTGATGCGTGAATGACCCATCAGGGTTAGTAATGACTTTGTCATCACAAACGGTATTTACTGGCTCGCAGGTCAGTGCTAGTTAACAGAAGGGATCAAACCAGAGCCTTATCACTGACCATCACTTTTCTATTGGTCGGTCGGTGATGTAAATTCTAGCTGGCAGTTAAAGGCTACAGTGCAAGCATTCCACAGGACTACAGCTAGAAGTGCACCTCGGCTTCATAGCCATGCAAATCACAACATATACAAAATCACATACTCCCTCTGATCCAAATTAATTGTTGTTCGCTTAATACAGCTTTATACCCTTTGATCCAAATTATTTGCTGCTCACTTAGTACAACTTTAGTATTGGAGGGAGTACACTTTTTTTCATTAATACATTTCATATGAACATATACAAAATCTCTTGCATTGCATTTCATCAGATAACCTGCAATGCATTTCATGGGATTGATACATTGAATTGGGTAGGCCCACATACAAAAAACTGTATATCATGATCATCACATTGGTACATTTTAACTTAATTACATGGTTGTGTATACTTTGTTGTTTTCGTTTTTGCACCCACTACTATAGACCGGTATAGCATTAACCAGTCAAATTGTATCATCACTGACGTGTGAGTTGTCAGTCAGTGCCTCATCAGGGTCAGTAATGATGTCACCATCCCAGGCATGCTAGTTGACATGTCTATGGTGTAATGGTCACACAGACCGCTTGGCGGGTCAGTGCGGTATAAGCAATTGGGGCGCTAGTAGTGCAAGCCCAAGTGCAATAAGGAAGAAAGTTACACATAGGCACATACAAATTTAAGTAAGTGCTAATGTATTGATCTATGAGTAGATGAGTCTTGTTGTCAGAGCTAATCTGATACTTGAATGAGTCATTCAACACATTGGAAATGCCCCTCGAATTGTTAGATTAGCAATCAGGATTACACATATAATTGCCTTCTTTTTGTGTAGTGCACCTAAAATAGAGCAACATCAGCAATGTGTCATTTTAGTTGCACCGGACAAAATACTCTTACAAAGAAAATGCTTCATGCGGTAGACCAAAATGTCACAACAACAACAACAACGATGTTTGTATGTCCCCTATTCATATAATATAAACAACTTATTAATTTTCAATACTTAATATCATACATATATAAGCATTACGAAGTTACAACAAATGAGAAATAACATGCATACAATGAAATGTAGGAATGAAACATAGTCCATGCATTACTTGCTACTTCGCACACTTGCTAGCATTGTCTTACTTTCTAATAACCCACAAGTATAGGGGATCGCAATAGTTTTCGAGGGTAGAGTATTCAACCTAAATTTATAGATTCGACACAAAGGGAGCCAAAGAATATTTGAAGGTATTAGCAGCTGAGTTGTCAATTCAGCCACACCTGGAGATTAATTATCTGTAGCAAAGTGATCAGTAGCAAAGTAGTTTGATAGTTTTGATAGTAGCAACAGCAGCAACGGTAACAGTAACAATGATAATAGTAATTTATAGCAAGTATAACAGTGATAACGGTCTTCTGCTGGGTTGACTCTTACTCAGAAGAAGTATTCTTTGGACTTGTTGCGTCGTGCTGGAATGCTGAAATGCAAACATGCTATCACTCCGATGTCTGCAACTGATCGGTTGAGACCCTCTTTCACCTGATGATGTTACTGAGTACCGCGGTCTCGTTGGTGGTCTGCAATATGTTACTATCACCAGACCAGATGTCTCTTATGCGGTCAACCGCATCTGTCAGTATCTCCATGCACCCAGGACATCTCATTGGTCAGCTGTGAAGCGTATTCTGCATTATATCTGTCTCACTGTCTCCTATGGTTTGCTTCTTCAGCCTGCACCGTCTTGTGAGATGTCATCTTTTTCAGATGCGGATTGGGCTGGTAGTCTTGATGATAGGCGATCCACAGGGGGTTATGCAGTATTCCTTGGTCCTAACTTGATCGCCTGGAATGCTCGCAAGCAAGCTACAGTGTCTCGCAACAGTACTAAAGTACTAAGAGTCTCTCCAGCTCATCCTCCAGTTTTTTGGTGTGACAACATTGGTGCTACATATCTTTCATCTAATCCGGTGTTCCATGCTCGAACGAAACACATCGAGGTTGACTATCACTTTGTTCCGGAACGCGTTGCACATAAGCTACTCTGTATCAAGTTCATCTCATCAAAAGATCAACTTGCTGACATCTTCACGAAGCCTCTTCCACAACCACAGTTTGTAGGATGTAGGCGCAATCTTAACTTACTTTGTACTTTAGGCCATAGTTAAGATTGAGGAAGAGTGTTAGACTGTATATACGTAGACTTTGTATACACCTTGTATTGTACCCTTTGGTACCCCTATATAATGAGATAGCTACACCCCGTTTAGGCACATCCCGTTTAGGGTGTCAAGCAGTTTCCCAAAACATACGTTTTACACTCTATATCTATTTCGATCTACTTGAAGAGAGTCATCCAATGGTGACATGAAATCATGAATTTGATCTCATCTTGCTACAGCCTCAAGTCACTCTTTTCGATCATGCCATTTTCGAGCGTCAACACCTTCCAGTTCATCGCTTGCTTGGGGTCGTCTGACGCGGCCTCCTCCATTGCCCACACAAGCATCCTAAGAGACCCCACCGGCTCCCCCGTGGGCGTGAGGTGGAGATCCTCTGCCTCCTTGAGCTTCCTGTAGGCGCCGACGCCTTCATGTCCTTCTCCTCCGTGAACCAGGAGAGACTCTCTCATCCAGTCCATCTTCAGCTCGTCTCTGTTGGCGATCTCCAACATCCTTGCCTCGAGACGCAGCTTCCAGAACACCATGGATC